AGTCCAGGGCCCGCGCCAGCTTGGACAAGGACTGGGTCCTGGGCCTGGGTACCCTGGGGCCGAACTCAGGAGCAACAGCAACACTATCGATCAGTGCGCGCCGAGCTCTTCTCCGCACTAGCAAGGAAGTGACATCCCAACGATCCGTGAACGGGATCGGGTGTCTGACCGACGTTTCCCACCCCCACCACGCCGCCCACCCCGCCCAGACATCATCACATTCATTGCCGTGGGAGAGGAAGGCTTGAAACGGGAAGGTGATACGCTCGGGCTCAGCTTCCAGGTGGGAAGCTATCCAGACAACCTCAATGGACCCTGGTCCCCGATTTTTGTCGCCTGCAGGATTCTAACCCAGAGATCAGCATTTCGGCCATAAGGTCGAGCAGCGCGGCCAGGCCTTCAGCCTTCAACCACGGGCTTGCAATCGCAAACGTAAGCGGTATCACCAGGCGAATTCTCGAGGCCCAAGGCCAGTGCCAGGAGCTCTGATCGGGGCACAGTCTGTCGTCGTCCAGAGAGACAGGCAGCCACGCCGCAGACGGGGAGCCACATGGCCTCAGAAGGATCCCCGTCCGAAGTCCGACGCGTGACTACCACCGCTGCTCCGCAGCGTCTCCGACGATCGTCTGAGCTGTGCTCTCCCCCTGGGCCGTCCCCAAACAGGTAGAGGGGGGGTGTCCCGCAGGGGCCGAGAGCTCCTTCAGCAAGCACTGGCCGAGGAAAATGGGGTCGGAAAAACCAGGCCCCTGCTGAAACCGAGGAACTGTCAGACTGGCTGCAGGCACTTCCCTCAACTACAAGGAAGGGTCGAGGTCAGCGTTCGCCAACGCCTGCGGGATGAGTGCGTCCGTAGACGTGCAACCAAGGTGGGAACAAGTTTTCGGGCACTCCCAGATGCGGTGGCGCAGCGTCTCAGGGGCAGCTCTGCACCGTGGGCGCCGATGATCGACTTGGCACCCTGCATCGTGCTGCCTCTGCTGCGTCCACTGCCCACTGCTGCGACCGAAACCGTCGCACCCCACAGGTCCATGTCACCCTTCCTGGCGAAGGCCTCCAACTCACGCTGAATGCCATGCAGATCCGCTCCATCCGCGAGCTGTTCGCCATCTGGATTCTTGGCGGCCAGCCGCCAGGCAGCAGCGCTGCAATCGTGTTCAAAGTCCGCCAGGAGCTCACTGAAATCCCCCGGCACGGTGTCGTTGTAGCCATCCCCGCCGAAAGAGAGGAACGTGTAGTCTTCTGGCCCCTTCAACGCCTGATCGTCGCCAACGGGTGGCCTCCAGGGGCACCCGACCCGCCTGCAACAATGTAGCTTGATGGGCAGCGGTGGGCCCGGGGACACCGCGCCAGCGGACGCGATCACCCAGTCCAGCACGAACACGTGGCCAAACCCGAGCGATGCGGCCATGCAAATACGGGTGCGCAATCCACATACGAAACCACTCAGTAAGCACATCCCGTCGAAGCTGCACAGAGGGGTCGCGTGTGCCAAGCGTGGCCTGCAAGACCGTCTGTAAGCATCGCCCCCTCTTGTGGCCAACAATCGAGATCGACGCCTGCCTGCGCAGCTTGGTCATCATGGAGGGCGGCGCTCCGTGAGCTTGATGCCCGTATGTAGCAGAAGGAAGCGCGCCAGCCCTCCACAAGCCAAGCGCCACCTTGTGGCTGGCAACAAGTCGCCGAAGCTTCTGGATCCTGCCCTGACTCGCCGTGGCCCTGACCAGTCGAGCACGAAACTTGGGTCGGGCGCGCCGTCGAGCACCAGCTGCGTCAACTCCCAGGTCGACCGCCGAAGAGGCGTGAGCAACAGGAATGCCCATGCTCTTCAAGGAAGTGACGAGAGACAACCCCAGCGCGTCATCACTGGCGACGAGCTTCGTCTTGTCAGAGATCGTCAAGCGGTGGTCCTTGAACGCGTGAGCCAATGACTGAGCGGCCGTCAACATGTCACCAATGACAGTAGCACGCGCACCCTCCGTCCTGCATACAGTGTCGTCAATGAATGTCCACAGCCCCGCTCGTGGGCACGCAACATGGGCCTCCTGGAGGAGGCCGTGCAGTATCACCTTGGCCATGTCCACTCCACGCGGATATCCAGCAACAATCGACTTGCCAGGCTCCAGGGCAGAGCTGACCAAGACGCCCCGCTTGATGAGGCGAGGTGCCGCATACATGCCCACCTCCAGGACAGCGATGATGGCGGGGTAGTGAGGAGAGCGACTGGCCTTCATCAGCAGCACAAAACTGATCGAATCATAGAACTTCTGCAAATCGAAAAAGAGAGTGGCGTATGACACGCCCAACTCGCGAGCACATTCATCCAGGATCGCCCTAGCCAGCGCCGCACGCAGAGCTGAGGGCCCCGCGATCGCCGTGTCCCAGAAGGCCCCTTGCTTCTCCGTCCAAGGGTAAGACGGCGCTGAACGCATCCTGCTCCACAACTTGGCCGTGTGAGGCATCAGACCGAGCACCCTGTGGCCGCCGGCCTCCTTTGGAATGGAGGCACCGAGAACCGTCGTAATCTCCACAGGCTGCACTCCTGAAAGCTCAATATCATTCAAGAGGTTCACCAGCGCACGGCGGCCAATATCTGGCAGTCGCAGCGCGTCATTTGGCCCCGGCGCGTCAACTCCTTGAGCCTTGCCCGATGGCATGGCCCGTAGGGTGGAGGTGAGCTGGTCAAGCTCAAAGGGCGGCAGCGCTTCCTCCAAGGCGTCCGAGTGCAACTGGTTCAGCCAGTAGTGGAGGTCCTCTTGAGTGTCCACCTTCTCGCGCCAGATCTCAGTCCAGTGCTGGCGCTTGCCTTCTAAGAGAAGCCGAGGGTGACTGGTGGGGCAACCATCAGGGCCAGCACCTTCCCATTCAGGCGGTGGGTCTGGCTTGACATGGCGATGCACTGAGCCTGGTTTGAGTCGCCACTGCTCGCGCACCCACGCCGTGAGACTGGCCCTGGATACTGTCATGCCCGTGAGGAAGCCCAGTCCGACCAGCGCTGGGCCAGCTGTACGACCTGGTCCAGCGCATCATCCTCTAGCTCATCCAGAATGCCCGCGTCCGAGACCCACGCCTCGGCAAGCTCGAGCGTAGTCTTCTTGCCGAAGTACGCGTCCTTCTCCAGCAGATCCAGACTCTGCAGATGCCGACGTAGTTGGGACAAGCAGTCCCGAGCCTGGCACAGGTCGACCCCGTTACGGGTGAGGGCGTGGAAACGAACCAAGAGAGTGGTGGTGATGCCCCACCACTCGGCATAGCTGTTCCTCATGTGGGTACGTCCAGGAGTGGCCCGCAACCTCGACCACTTCACCGCGGGCCCTGCGGCACGACCAACACATGCTCGCCGATCTGCGCCGCCCAGGCCCTCAGTGTCGAGGATGGCCTGCTCCAAAGTAGAGACCCAACAAACATACTCATCAGATATGCGCTCTCGCTCTTCCGCGCGCCACTGCAGAATGCGGTAATCAGGAGGGTGCACTGCAGGTAACGCACCCCGAGGACGGCATCGCCAAGCTTGAGCACGCCAGGCCTGAGCACGTGCACGGATCCTGGCTTGGAGGAGGAGGGGGAGGAGGAGGAGGAGGAGGAGGAGGAGGAGGAGGAGAGGGGGAGGAGGGACGGGAGGAGGAGGAGGAGCAGAAGGAGGAGGAGGAGGAGGAGGAAAAAAAACATAAGGAAAAGGAGGATGAGGATGAGGAGGGAGACGGGGAGGGGAGGGGGAGAAGGAGGAGGGGGAGGAGGAGGAGGAGGCGGGGGGAGGAGGAGGACGGGGGGGGGAGGAGGGGGGGAGGTCGGGGAGAAGGAGGGAGGAGGGGAAGAGGAGGGAGGAAGAGGAGGAGGAGGAGGAAGAGGAGGAGGAGGAGGACGGGGGAGGAAGAGGGACGGAGGTAGTAGTAGTAGTAATAGTTAGTAGTAGTAGTAGTAGGAGCGGAGGAGGAGGAGGAGGAGCAGGAGGAGGAAGGAGGAGGAGGAGGAGGAGGAGGAGGAGGAGGGGGATGGAGGAGGAGGGAGGAGGAGGGAGGAGGAGGAGGAGGGGGAGGAGGGGATGGAGAAGGAGGACGGGGAGGAGGAGGAGGAGGAGGAGGAGGAGGAGAAGGAGGAGGAGGAGGAGGAAGAGGAGGAGGACGGGGAGGAGGAGGAGGAGGAGGATTATGCCGGATTGTGCTAGCCTGATCTCCGCAGCTGCGAGGCACGCACCACGGCGACGTTGAAAGCTTCCCCTACCCCAGGCCGTCCCTGGGCGATAAAATTCGGCTTTGGCCAAAACGGCGTGCCCGCGGTGGGGTGTCGACCTTCCCACAGACGGCTCAAACGTCCAGCCATTGTTCGGGGGTTTCCTTCGACGCAGCTCGACAGCAAACCAACCCATCTGTCCTGCGCGTCCCTGGCACATCGGCGACAGAAGATCACACGGGGGAGGCATATTAGCCTGTGCCCCTGGGCGCGGGCTCGTTCGATCCTGCCTCCGTCTCCCCCCAGCCCAACGCGGTGGGGCGGGGCGCCGGAAGGCGGATGGTGGGGAGGCTCCACGGCCCCCCCTTCACCCCCGCCAGGCCGGGGTCTGGAGGGGTTGGGTGGGTTCGAGCCCCGCTCAACCGGGCCCGAGCCCTCGGAGGTGTCAGCGAGCCCTCTGCCTAACTCTCCTACGTAGGCTGCGAACTCAAGCACGTCCGCAACGAGTTTGAATCGCTGTATGCATGCAGCTCGGTGCCAATCAGGGTGCTGCTGCAGTCGAGCTCCTAGCTTGGCATACTGATCGGCGAATTTGTTTCCCTCCCACAGCTCGAGGCCCATCTCGTTTCTTTGGGCTCTCGTGGCATGGGCTTTAACTTTCTCGAAACTGACCCCTCGCGGCCCCAGGCCTCCGTTTTCAGCGATCAAGGCAAGCAGCGCGCCCACGCGTCTCTGCGTGGCGTGGCGTGGCGCGCCGCCCACGCGGGCCCTCTCAGAAACCAGTCGATGACCGACTGGCAGTCGGAAGCGATGATGATGGGCGGGCAAGCCACCTCCAGCACGCGGAGCACGGCCATCAGCTCGCTCAGGAATAGGGATTGCTGCCGCTGCGGCCTTGGCAGGGGCCCGTAGCATGCGTTCTTCAAGGGCATGTCCTCGTTCAGCTGCGCGAGTGACCAACCTCCGCGTCGTAGGGCAGCGTACTTGCCGTGCAACAAGCTGTCATCGGAGTACACTCGGCCCGCGGCGAAACCCGCGAAGTCGCCCTCGACGTGAATGGTGTCGAAGACGGCGATGTCCCACAGGCCGAGCTCCACCGCGTGGTCGTTGGCCAGCCCACGGCCCCAGAGCTGCTCGGACCCTGGCCATGGGTTGGCTCCTCGCTGCGCGATGTGGGCGCCACCCGCGCGCCGGCGCTCATCCTGCCGCGCCGCGCAGACGAAGGTGCGGTGTCTGTCCGTGCCCTCGCCCTGGTCGCACGCCTTGCAGATGGCGTCGGGTGCCGCTCCTTTGGGATGCAGCCGCGCCTGCGGCCACGTGCCCCCGCGCCAGTGCGTCCTCGCGCGCGCCTGGTGCGCATGCGTCCAGCGCCCGCGGCATGGCCGCCGCAGGAGCGCCCTCGCAGGCTCAACGAAGATCGACTGCATGTTGAACTCGCTCCCCCACTTGGCCAACCACGCGCCCTTGAGGCCCTGCTCGGTGGCGGTGCGGACGTAGTGATGCAGCTCGTGGAGGGGGTCGTCCTCAGGTCGATGATGTTGGTGCCGATGGTAATCGAACGCGCCGCCTGGGTCATCCAGCCGAGCCTCTTGACCGTCGCCACGAAGGCCCCTGCTGGGCGTCTCACCTGCTGCCACGGGGCCTTCGCAAGGCCCACTCGGAGGACCCACCGCTTCCATGCGGCCTGGGGCCTCGGCCCGAGACCCGGGTCGTCCTCTGCTTCTTGCCAGGTCTGCGGCCGCGCCAGGATCGGGGACGCGTTGGCCAGAATGCCTGGGTCTACGTCGTCGGCCAGCAGCGTCAGGTACGTGTATCGCCCCTTCGCATTACCAGCCATGGCCGTCGCCACGCTCTGCCGCAACTCGCCCAGCTTGGTGTCGGCCATGCCCATGACATTGACGCCGTAGAGCAGCGACGGCACCTTGGCGTGCCTGATCACCTGTGTGCCGGCCCCCCGGCTCGCCGGACCCTCGCGATCCGATCCCGTCTGGCGGCGAACTTGACTGCCCTATTGCTGAAAGCCCCCACGCTCGCCGGTATCTGCTCGCGGCCGTCGTGGCGCCGAGGCGCTTCTCTTCCTTCGCCATCCTCGCGCCGTGGGTGCGGGCGCGCTTGCCGAGCTCCGCGTTCAAGGCCGAGGTCGAAGCCAGGGTGGCCGTCTTGCCCCCCTCGCCCCGGGAGACCCGCATGTCCGGGACCACCTCGAACATGTTGATCAGCGTCTGCACAAGCTGGCAATGCCAGTGCTGCGCGAACTCCCTGACGCCGTGCGTCGCCATCGCCAGGTCGTCGAAGAACAGGCAGGCGTCCGCCCATCGGAAGGCCTCGACGACCCCGTCCAGCTCCATGTATAGGATCATCCTGAGGCAGAGGGGCGCGAACCTGCTTCCTGCCACAATGCCCCTGGCCCAGCGCCGCCCACGCGTGTAGCGCCCGTCGAGGAGGATGCGCCTCGCCATCGCGTAGATCCTGAGGGCGACCTTCAGGATGAGGTGGTTGAGGCCCCACCGGGAGCGCGCCTTCCAGACCAGCTCGTGGGTCAGGTACTCGGAGCATTTGACCAAGTCGAAGTACGTCACGGCGCACTCCAGCCCCTTCCGCGACGATCGCCTCGCAGAAGAGCGCCTGGACTCAGGCCGCCCGCTCGCTTGAGCGGCCCTTGGCAGCCCAATCATAAGCCCGTCTGTTCGCCTCCTCCCAGCGCCTGGCGTAAGGAGGCCGGATGGTCTCCCGCAACCTCGCCAGCTCTGGGATCAAGCCGAGGTTCCTGTAGCCTCCTGCGGGCTTCGCGAGCAGGTAGAACAGGATGGTGGATTGAGGCTCGGGCCATGGCGACCCTGCCTCCACCGCGTTGAGCGCGCTTGCCGCGCGCGCTGCCCCTTGGACGCCTCCCTGCTTCCAGAGTCGCGGATGCCGGCCCGACTCTCCGAGGCCCGTCTTGGCGCGGAACTTGCCACTGGCGTCCAGCACTTCCTTGGGCATAGTGGGTGGCGTCCTGTACTCCTCCCTCTCGAGCGCTGTGGGGGGCTGGCACCACGGCGCAGTCGGGTCGTGCTCGTCGCCCCAGATCGCCTCCCAGCCCGCGAGCGAGTGGTCAGCGGCCTCCTGGGGGTGCGCGAGCGCGTGCTCGCTGATGCTCTCGTTCTGTGGTGGCGCAGTCGGCTGCCACGGCGCGTGCGGCTTGGTCCACTTGTGTATGGCCCCCGCGCCTGCTGCTCCGTGGTCACGTAGCCACCTCCTCCAGCATGCGGCTAACGCGCGATGCACCAGCCTCCAGTTCCTCCGACTAGCCACGTCCAGGAGGGTCGCGACGCAGTCGATGTACTGCAGCTCCTGAGCAGTCAATCTGTCGACGTCGATGCTGCCCACCGTGTTCACGATGGCGGGCCACTGCTGCACTGTGTCCCAAGTGAGCTGCTCCTCGGAGCCCGGCTGCTCCCCCCCGCGGGGTGGCGCTCCAGCCGCGAGGCGGCTCTGTACCACTTCCGCCTCTTCGCAGGGAAGGTCGGGGAGGGGCGTGCCCTCGTCCTCCGACACCAGCGACGCCGCCTCGTCTTCCCACGTGGTGCCCTTCTCACTCTGCGGGCCAACTGCAAAAGGGCGCCGCTGCGGTGCGGCGCCCCCAGCAAGGTCGTCTCCAGCGACCCCGGCAACTGCCTCTTTGGTGGCGGGCTGCAGGCTGCAGGCCTCCCAGGGAGCCCCCTGGCGGGGCCGCCGCGAGGGCCTCCGGGGCCGCCCTCATCAGCGGCATGGCGATCTCGTGGGCCAGCATGGTGTCGGCCACGTGGATTGCCTGCCGCCACGTCTCGCCGGTCTCGCTGGCCCACCAGCGCGTCGCGAAGTCTGTCAATTGCCTGAGCCGTCGTGACAGCCACTCGGCTGCCTCTGCCCAGGCCTGCTACCTGGGCGCCTCCTTCAGCCTCGGCGCCTCCGTGTAAGTCCACTTGTAGATGGTCTGCTCGTAGTGCCCCTGCCGCCGCGTCAACTCCTCTCCCTCGAGGTTGTGGAAGCGGTTGGGGTGCTCCTCGTAGGCCACGCCCAGCGCCCGCCAGTGGTCATCCATGACGTCCTGGCTGTGCCCTCCGTGCCTCGGCAGAGGGCGAGGCCAATGCGTTGGGGGCGTCGCGCGCCCCATGGGTAACTCCAGCGGCCACCGCTGCGGCTTCTGGAGCACGTAGACCATCCCGGTCGTCCCTGTGCTGCCTCGCGAGCCGGAGCACGACGGGGGAGTGCGGCGACGCGTTGTAGCCGTTCTGCACCGTCGCCTCCAGCGGCCCGAGGACCAGGCTCTTCGAGACGATGATGTAGTCTCTGTCGTACTGCTGCCCGAGCATCGTACAGGAGCCCTGCTGCCTGTCGTGCACGATGATCCCGTTCATCCTGCAGAGCAGCCCCGAGTCCCTGATGACGTGCGGGTCTATGTTGAAGTCGTCCCCGGGCACCCACTGGTAGCCAGTGGCGTTGACGACGCTCGCCCGCTTGGCGAGGATCAGCTCGTTCCTGCGCGCGAGGCCCTCGCTGGTCCAAAGGTAAGCCGACCCGAAGAGCAGGCCTCCCCTGCACACTCCATCTAGCCATGCCACGGCTAGTCTTCCCCTCGAGGCTGGCGGTGACATGGCCGTGCGAAGTCCATGCCCTGGCGGCGCCGCGTGGCCACCAAGACTCCCGCACTCCAGCCTTTTTGACGCCCGGCACGATGCCGAGCCTCCAGCGCAGCTTCTCCATGCGCCCGACGAACAAGTTAATCCTGCGCTCGTCGGCCTGCAGCTCCTGTGCCATGATGGCGGCCGTCTGCGCCAAGCAACCCACCTGCATCGTGACACGACCCAGCGTGCCCAGGGAGTTCGCGTTGATGGTGATGAACTCCTGGTAGCCGCGTGCGTCGTCAGGAACACGACGGCTTCGTCCACTGCAGCTTGGAGATGGTGATGCACGTCCCGGCGAACATGCCAGCAAGCAGAGCAACCATGGGGGGGGCGTGCACGTCCATCTGCTCGGGCGTGACCCCGCCGTCCTGCATGATCTTGCGCACCGCCTGCTCGTCGGAGCCCGCGGGGAACTCGAACATGTCCTCCCTGACGATGGTGTCGGCTGCTGCGCGCCGCTTGGCGCGGCCTCCCTGGGAGGCGGCGGCCTTGCTTGCCTCCTCCTCCTCCTCCTCCTCCTCCTCCTCCTCCTCCTCCTCCTCCTCCTTCTCCTCCTTGGCTCGCAGACGGCCGGCCTCCTCGGCGGCCTTACGGGCCTGTTCGGCCTGGGCAGCCTTCTCGTCCTCAAGCTTCTTCTGCGACCGCGCGTGCTCCAGCGCCTCTTGCAGCTTGACGTCGCTGTGTACCTGGCTGCCTCATCCACCCCCGGTGTGCTTGAGGCACTTGGCAGCCTGTTCCAGGAAGGCCACCGCTGCGCCCCAGCCCGTGCCCGGGCTCGGTACCGAGAGCTCCTCGATCTTCGTGTTGAGCTTCTGCAGCTTGTCCTTGTGACGCTGTAGAACTGCACGTTCGTCGTCCAGCGCTTTCTGAGCCTTGGCCAGGTCCCCCTCCAGCTTGGTGATGCGCAGCTTGCACTTGTCCCGCTGCTCCTCGACCCTGTTGCGGTCTCGCACCACCCTGCATTCGGTGAAGCACCTGGGCACTCCCGTGTCGATCTGTGCCTGCATCGCGTCAACCCTCTCTTGGAGCGGGCCGATCTTGTCCACCACGAGCTCGCCAAGGATGGGTTCATCCGACGTCTTCTTGAGCTCCGCCAGCTTGGACCGCAACGTGGCAAACTGCTCGGCGGTCGGGTTCTTGTCCTTGTCGGCCTCGTCGGTGGACTTGCTGGTGTCGTCAGCTGTGCC